CTGACTGGCCAAACAGCAGAGGTGTGTGTATTATGTACAAAAAGGCAAGGTGTTAAAAGTTATTTCTTCTGTGAGAAAAATACCTGAAAATTGCCTGATTTTTTTTTTCAGAGGCCTTAGCAGGGGGAAAAAAATGGATATTGATGTCTTGTCAATATTCCTTGAATCTCATCCATTTACAATGCCTGCATTGTAAGGGTGGGAGGAAGGGGAGGCAGGTGCGACCTTCAAGCAGTTGAGGGGTGGCATGAACTGCAGGTGGGGTGGGGTCCTTTTCCAACAAACCTACACCCCTATCCCTATCCCCTCCCAGGATTTACTTGCTGTTCAACTCTGGCAGTGGCAAATGCTAATAAAAGCAGCTGCACCCCGAGTGGGGTGGGGTTGAGAGCGATAGCTGTAGGGAAGCAAGGGACTGGGGGAGGGAGGGTTGCAGTAGACCATTGCAGGGGAAGTGGGGAGTGAAAAGAGCAGCCCCTGGACTGGGGTCAGTGGCTGGGTTTTTCCAGTTCTGGGGCTGTGTAGGGAAGTGGAAAGAAGTTGCATGCACCAGTCTCTGATACAGGCAACACCTGCTTAGCACTTTTAATTGGTTCCTGAACAAACAAGCATTAAGTGAAATAAGCGTTAAGCGAAACCGAAAGTATTTGATGATCCAAGATGGTGGCCACAATCGTTTTTCATGACCCCAGATGGCGACCATGAGCGTTATAACAAAACTTGCCGAGGGCTAAGTGAAATCAGGTATCAATTTAAAATAAGCGTTGTAGCAAAATAGCGCTAAGTGAAACAGCATTAGGTGGGGGTTGCTAGTACTACATAGATCCAGGTTTATCTTAAACTGGGTTCTGCAATTCTTAGATTGGTCTGTGTGCACTGAACTTCAGTTACAGCTTTAGACTGATGCTGGTCACTGAGACTGGGTCTGTAAGTGTAAGGTTGGCACGGGGACGAGCCAACTTTAAATCAAATGGGGCAAGCACAACCTGCAGGGGGCTGGGGGGATGGCGTGACCTGTATGTGGGGTGGGGTGGGGTGGGGTGGGATG